CTTCGCTCCTCTGGAGTTCCGCGGTGGATGGCTGACTATTGCTCTTCCTGGGTCTCTTCCCGGCCGGTCTGGTGGTGGAACTCCGTCTCTGGCCGGCAAATGTGTTTCTAAGCACGGTTGTCAATTTAAAAAGTGTGCGGCAATGTGTTAAAAGAGATCTTTTGCTTGACAGGATTTCATCATATAGTTGGTTGGTGGGGTTTTTTTTTAACTTTTTTAGCATACAGTTTTTAATCTTCCTTCTGCTTCCTTTGTCTTCTCTTTCAGGCTTAAGTTCTCTTTGTAACAGTGAAAAAACCACTAATGTAAAGAATAAGACATTCTAAGATTTTCTTTTTAACTAAAGAGTGCGATTTTTTTATATAAATGTGAATTTTTTTTATTACTTGTTGGATCAATCAGATTTGCTTCCGAGTTGGATTTCCATGATGAAAAATGCCTGTGGTTGGAAAAGTGATTTATTTTTCTTCATCAAATAACCTTGGAATTTTAATTAATTCCATCTCTTCACAGGATAGAAATCTGTCTCACCAGAGGTTTGACTGGATTGAATTTCAAGAAGGAGGTAACACCTTCTTCATTGAAATGTGAAGGCTTTGGATTATTTTCCAACTATTTAAGGCTTTTTTTGGTTTGGTGGTGGTAAAATATGGGTTACATCGAAGTTTTTGTGGTCTATTTCTTGATATTTTTGAGAACCAGACATGCGGTAGTGGAATTCAGTAGTCTGCCCTGGAGGTGTGTTCTTTGCATTGACATCATGTTCTATATACAAAAACCTGTTTGGCCCCTGCTGTCTGTTTGTCTCTTAAAAGTGACAGGTGCAACAATGAATGAGTAGAAATCCAAAGTCTTTGTAAATTTTCATTAAAATTAATAATAATTTTTTTTTTTAAAAAAGGAAAAAAGTGACACTTTGAGGCTTTTTGACAGCTCCATGTTGTGATTCTTTGGCCAAGAACTGGACGTCATTATGCCGCTATGGTATTGAACTTTTATCTCCCATATTGTTGGGAGGTTTTTTTTGTTTTTGTTTTTTTTTCAGGAGCGAAGTGGAAGACAGGTAGACAAGCAAGCTTATTGCCATCAAGTATTTTTAATTCTCAAACACTTCAATTTCTAGGTCTCCCGCTGTGCTTAAGTCAAGGGATCAAGTAGAGTCTATGGGTTTTTGGTGATAAATTGAACTTCTGTTTTACTTTGGGTGTTAAGCTCTTAGTTCCTTTAGGTCTTGTAAGAATATTGAATGGAAGATATTACTTTTAGATTTAGAGGATGACCTAAGACCTCAGGTTTTATATTCTACCCCCTTTCTTATTTTGTTGTAGATCTCTTACTAGGTTTTTAGTTCTCTAACTCATCAACCTGATTTCCATACATAGAGCGTTTTCACTTGCCACTTGAAATTATTTCCATCACAGTGCTCTTCCCTGCTCAAATGTTCATGTGATTTACTCTGCTGTGTACTTGGGGAGCTCACTATATCCCCTCTTCTTCAGCCATATCTAACACTCACCCTCACTCATGGACTCTGCTTTTGTTTTTTCCATTTCTTAGTAACTGAGATACTGAAATTACAGTTATTTCCTTGTTTATGTCTTCCACTAGAATGTAAATTCTAAGACTTTAGAAAATTCTTCATCTGCTTGATCAAAGTTACTCAACTTAAATATTATTAGCACTTTGAACCAGATATTTCTTTGTTGTAGTTGACTGTCTTGTGTATTATGGGATGATTACCAGCATCTCTGGTTTCTGTCTCTGGCCTCTGATACTCCTCAAGCTGTGACAATAAAAAATGTCTCTAGTCCTATCTCCTGTGTCTGTCTGTGGAGGTGACAGCCATCTCCTGCTGGCATAAATGGCTGCCCTCAGATCCCACGTGGAGCCAAAGATCATCAAAAAGAAGATCAAGAGGTTCATCTGGTACCATTGGGTCAAAATTAAGCATGATTGGTGCAAGTCCAGAGGCATCGGTAACAGGGATCTTGATGTGTCCAGCACTGGTTATGGGAGCAACAAGAAGACAAAAACACATGATTCCTACATTTCAAGGAGTTGGAAGTGCTGCTGATGTGGGACAAAACTTACTGTTCTGAGATTGCTCACCATCTTTCCTCCAAGGACTGCAATACCATCATTTAAAGAGCAGTCCAGCTGACCATTAGGGTCACCAATCCCAATGCCATACTGTGCAGTGAAGGAAATTAATAGAATCCTTGTTTGCATGGTTTATTTGTGCTAAATAAACCGTAAACACTGCAAAAAAATATTCTTTGGATATTGTTAAATAATCTTCTGAGGGACAAAATCACCCTTGTCAGAAGACCATTGATTTAGAGCAGTGTCTTAGTGCATAAATCCGTTAATCTGTTGATTTTGACTCATAGCATCCTTTGTGTTACAGAGTGAAACTATACCCATAGAGTTTTCCTGATTGTGATATTTATGAAAGCAGGTTTCCAGTTCTTTCTTCCATAGTGCTGTTGAATGGGGTCATATCACCAACTTCGTTAGTTCTCAAGTGCAAACCATTTAGGTTTTTTACCAAAGACTTTCTTGACACATTGTTGTTATTAGTTGCTGTCAAGTTGAGTACAACCCAGTTGACCTCATGAACAATAGATCTGAACCCTGTCCTATCTTGTGCCATCCTTCCTGACATACTCGAGCCCATTGCAGCAGTCACTATGTCTATTCATCTTCCTCTCCTTTGCCAACCCTCCACCTCTCTAAGCATGATGTCCCTTTCCAAGAAATAGCCTTTTCTAGCTACAGCTTGGCATGTAGTAAATATTTAATAAACACTTACTGGATCAAGTGGTGGTGCATAGTAAACACTTAGTGAACGATGGATGGATGAATGAATTTAGCAAGTTAAAGTTTTTTGGAACATGTGCATAGCCTGTTTCTTCTTTTCCTCTTTCTATAGATATTCTTCTTTTTTTTGTTATTCTAGGATTTTCTTCTTTTAAAAAAATTAAGATTTTAATGAAAGTTTATAGAGAGCTTGAATTTCCATTCATGCATTGTGGCACATTTTCCTCTCTGCCCACCCCCCAGTTCGCTTTTATCTCCACCCCCACTCCAATCCAGTTTACTGTAGCTCTTATCCTGGACTATTGTCATGGAAATGATACCTTAATCATATAGTCCTTTTAAGCAGTTCTATTCCACATATGTTTCAATGCAATTTACATTATTTATCCCCTCTTTTCTTAGTTTACCCCCAACCCTTATGTCAGTACTGTTTTATAAAAGTGGCATTATGTAGTATTTGTCCTTTTGTGACTGAGATATTTCACTCAGCACAATTCCTCCAGGGTCACCCATTTTGTATAATATTTCATAAGTTCTTTGTTTTTCAGTGCTGCATAGTATTCTATTGTTTGAATATACCACATCTTCTCTATCCATTTGTTTGTTGATGGGCACTTGGGTTGTTTCCAGCTCTTTGCTATTGTGAACAACACAGCAATAAACATGGGTGTACATGTATCTGTTTGGGTGGCAGTTCTAATTTATTTAAGGCATATTTCCAGTAGTGGAATTACTGGGTCAAATGGTATTTTTTTAAGGGTTTAGATTTTGAAGAGCCTCACAATCAAAATTCTGATCAAATTCTCCTTTGTAAAGGTTCTTGATTTTATAGAACCTTTGGAAATTTTACCCCTCCCATATCCATTTCCAGGATATCTAGAGAAGTGTTTCATTCCTTTATTCACAAGGTGCTTTGGTAACCCCTGTAAGGAGTTTAGAACTAGGGCTACCTATAGAGTTGCAATATTGGTTTGCTGTTTTAGTCTTGGCTTTAGACACATGCTCTTCCATTTTATGTTAGGTGGTACTGGTGAACTTTTTTCTCTATGTCCTAATCTCATCAATCACTTTACTCAGAAGCAAATGACTGGTGAAGCTTTCTATTTTGTCTTGAGCTTTTCATCTGTGAGTAAGTTCTACTTATTAATGACTGGTTAATATGTGTTCCATTTTTCAGAGGGATAGGAAATAAGGTTTCTCAAGTAAGACAGGTTATTGGGGGGAGATGAGCAAGAGGTACAAAGATCACTTACAGATTATATGACCCGTGTATACAGTTTTTGAATGTTAAATGTTTCTGTCCCTGATAAGTGGCTGGTTCTTTAATTATGTTTATTCTTGGATTAAATTCCAGGAATGTGACTATACCAGATGTCAGTAATCTGAAGCCTACAAACTAAGAGTCTTTATACTTTGAAGAGGTTGTAATAAACAAAACAACAGTGAATAATATGCAACAGATATCATGTAGCCTGCAAAGCTTAAAATGTTTATCATCTAATCTTTTGCAGAAAAAAAAATTACAAACTCTGGCATATACCATGATCATAGTGGAGCTAAGAGATGAAATGCTTAGTCTGTCTCTCTCTAGTGTCCTATCCAGGCCCCTAGTCTCCTAGGCACCACTGTCTTGAATGTTAGGGTGGTTCCTAATGAATTTTTATTTCATTTTCAGGTATATGAGTGACCTAAAGCTGCAGACTAAAACGGAGAGAGAGCAGTGCCAACTGGGAGCAAGGCAAAGATGCCAATCCCTCCTCCCCCTCCACCCCCACCTGGCCCTCTTCCACCTCCTACTTTTAATCAGGTAGGTAGTCTTTCTACCAGGCTATCTTAAAACTTTTGAGTAAACAGATGAGTAATCCTTACATACTATGTTTTATTTTCACTCCTTTTGTTAAAAATTCTAGACTTTCCTGTCCTTAGTGTTCTTATTTTGAGTCTACTATTCCTCATTTTCTGATATCCCAGGTTTTTGATCTTACTGTAAATAGATATTTTAGGCTTCCAGGTGTAAGACTCCTATTCTTAGAGATAAATGACACAGTACGATGAAGTGTCCTCATCAGATAGCTTTGATTCTAGGGAGGTCCTCGTAGAACTATAATCACTTGTTTTACCTTATTTTAAGTCCATCTAAATGTATATTTATTTATTTTTTTTTAATAATTTTAATGAGCATTTACAGGGATTTTGGATTTCCATTCATTCATTGCTGCACTTCTCCTCAGCCCAGCCCTCCGCACCGCCCCCCCTACCCCCCAGTTCGCTCCTCTCTTTCAAAAGTAAAAGAAACACTCCTTCCCTGGTAAACAACTAAATGTAGATTTTTGACAGTAGGAACTAGTGTTTCCCCCTAGAAATACTTGCTAAATAAATGTAAATGTATCTTTTTATCTGGCATTTTTGAGAAAAATAATGGAGATTCCTGGTGGTTATTGAAATAATTTCATCTTCTCTCTCTTATTTTTGAAGGTAAAATAGTAAAGATAGGTTTATTAGAAAGTTACATCCGCAAAGGGGAGGGGCCTTCTTCCTTGGTAGGAAATAGGGAGGGAGATAGTCTCTCCTTTAAATGAGTGCATTTTAAATCCTAATTCATCAAATCTGACAACCCATCATAAAAGAAAGGAGTTTGTGGAGTATATTAGAATGAATTCTTAAAAATTAGGTAATTGGAGGAAAAAATAAGTATGGCTTTTGAACCAAAGAGACAGTCATTTTAACCATATTTGGGTTGTGGTATCTGATGTTGCATGAGGAGGGTGGTGTGTGTATATGTGTTACATTTCAGGAGTAAAAATGACTTTAGAAAAATAGTGGGGAGAGAGAGAGAGAAAAAGAGAGTGGTGTGTGTAACAGATGAAAATAGTTTAGGTGGGCTGACTTCTCGTTCAGTGATATTTTGGTGGGCTTTTCCCCCCAGCGTGTCTCCTTGAATCTTGATTACTGCCCTGTACATGCTCTCTTAGTTATTATTAACTTAATAGCCTTTTATTTGGGACTATAAAATAGTAAAAGTAATAATATCTAACCTCAGGGAAGATAATGATAGGATCAGCCCAAAGTTGATTCCTGTGAGGTAGAGATCAGACAGACCTCTACTCTCTAAGCTTTTAGCCCATTCTGATTCAGCCATTCCTCTCAACAGCACTCTTAAGTTTTGCTTCTGGTTTTGTAATTGTTTGCAGGGACCACACTGAACTTGCAGGCCATACTCAGTTAAGTGGTTCATTAAGAAATAGAATACAAATAAGGATCAGGACTAATATCAGGACTAACTTGGGATCAGGATTAAGAAGCATATAGGGGGGAGCTCTGGTGGCCTAGTGCCAAGAAGCTGCACTGCAATCCCAGAGGAACACGGTTCGAATCCACCAGATGCTCTGCCGGAGAAGGAGGCGCAATATCCTCCTGTACCAGTCAGATCTGATTTGACGGTACACGCACACAAAATAAAAAAAAAAAAAAATTTAAAAAAAAAAAAAAGAAGCATATAGGCAAGTGCTCCCTTCTTTTTGGCAGTGTAGACCTCCTCTCAGGCCCATGTAGGGTAAACTTCCCTTGACCTTGCTGACTGTCAAGCACCGACTCTGTCACAGGGCTTCTTCTGGACCTGTATGTAGCCTTCAAGCTCTGCTGCTGAGCTTTCTTGAAGCCTGTCACTACAGTGTTTAAACAGGTTATAGCTATTATAGGGCTTGTTTGCCTCTTCTCTCTACTGTTTTTTTCTCACTTGCCTTTTCTCCTTTCTCCTGCTGCCTATCGAAAAAAATATCTGTGGGATTGGAGATACACACACACACACACACACACACACACACACACACACATTTCTCATCACTTTTAAGGTCTGTTCTTCCCACTAGGACCACCAACTGAACTGATTAATGTTCCGTTAGTAGGCCACTGTCATTTCATATGCATAATAGGCTGTAATCACTTCATTTGCATAGACTCTAGTCACATTGTTTGTACTGCATGTACTGCACCTTTAAAGGTGAATCCAGTCACATAGCAGGCTATAGCCTAGGACTAGACAAAATATATCAAACTACCAGATGTTTACAGCTTACCTAGGAAATGTCAGTCAACTGGTAAAAAAATAGTAAACCCTTTTAGGGTAAAAAACTAGAGCAAAAGTTACTCCTTAAGGGTCAGGGCAAATTTTCTCAAGTTGATTTTCCTAAGAACCAAGTCAAAAGGACACGTAAAGAAGTTCATTTTGTTGTAGAGACTTAGAGTTTGTTAGTTACACAATTTAGAAAATACAGGTACGTATTTTGCACTGGTTTCATTTATAACATGTAGTAGAAAAAAATATAAAGATAAGTAGAAAGCAAGGTTCAAGAAATAGACAGTATACCAATTGACATATTTAAACAAACAGACACTGCCCTGGATGTACTCATAAGTTGCCAAGAAATCTGGAGGACAGCCACCTGGCCAATTGACTGGAAGAGAATGATATTTGTTTCCATTCCAAAGAAAGGTGACCTGACAGAATGTGGAAATTACCAAACAGTATCATTAAAATCACATGCAAGTAAGATTCTGCTGAAAATTACCCAAAAACTACTGGAGTAACACTTCAACAGAGAGATGCCAGTGGTGCAGGCTGGGTTTAGAAGAGGCCATGGTACTAACGATATTACAGCTAATGTTAGATGGATCTTGGTTGAAAGCACAGAGTACCAAATGAATGTCTGTTTCATTGAGTATGCAAAGGCTTTTGACTGTGTGGATCACAACAAACTATGGGAAGAATGGGAATCCCAGAACATTTGATTGTGCTTATATGAAACCTATACTTGAACCAAAAGGCAGTCGTCAGAACAGAGGAAGGAGACACTTCATGGTTCAAAATCGGGAAGGGTGTCCGGCAGGGATGTATTCTGTCTCCATACCTTTTCAATCTGTATGTGGAACAGATCATGCAGGAGGCTGGACTTTATGAGGAGGAATGTGCCATCAGGATTAGAGGAAGACTCATCAACAACCTGCATTATGCAGATGACACAACTTTGTTTGCTGAAACTGAGGAGGACCTGACAAAGATCCTCTCCACTAGGCCAACTGGCAGCATTATGATAGAAGGTGAAGAGATTGAGATTCTTTAACAGCTTTAGTTTACTTGGCTCCACAATCAGCACTCTTGGTATTAGCAGCCAGGAAATCAAGAGATGAATTGCATTGGGAAAGTCAGCTGTCAGGGACCTCTCCAGAGTACTGAAGAGCAATAACATCAGTCTGGAAACTCAGGTGTGCCTGATCCAGGCCATAGTCTTCACAATTGCTTGCTATGCATCATACAGCTGGAGAGTGACTAGGGATTATAGAGAATTGCTACCTTTGAACTGTTGTGCTTTGTTTGACTTACTTTGGTCATGTTGCAAGGAGAGACCAGTCTTTGGAGAGGGACATCATCTTTGGAAGGGTGAAGGGACAGCACGAGAGGAAGACCCTTGAGGAGATGGGTTGATTCACTGGCTGGAGTAATGAGAGTAGGTGTGAAAGAGTAAGTAAGGTTGGCACAGGATAGAGCAGGTTTCAGGGCTGTTGTACATAACATTGCTTTGAGTTGCAAGCAACTCGACGGCACATAACAGCAGCAACAACAATGCAAATTATGTCCTTTGCAAAATACTAGAGATGTGGTAAAACTCAAACTTATTGCCATTGGATTTCTGAGGCTAAACGTTGAATGGAGGAGGAAGTTGCCCATCTTTCTTGTGAAGATCTGCTCATGGATTTGAACCACTTGAGAGTTCCAGCCTTTGGCTTAGAGCATCTGCTATAGAGTGTGCCACCAGAGCTACCAGATGTACTCAACATATGTTTGTCTCAATGGTGATAACATATATAAAACATCTAAATTATCTAACATAACTAACACATAGATACTCGAATTAGTACAGTCCCCCTATCAAGCTTCTGACGAGGAGGGAGACCCAAACCCTTAAGACCAAAAATTGATTCATTGCTGTCATGTTGGAACTGACTCAAAGCTAGCCCTCCATTGGGTTTTTGGAGGCATAAATCATACAGAAGGAGAATGCCCATTTTTCTCCCTGAAAATAGTTGGTGGATTTGAACTGCCAGAGATGTGCCACTTTTGGGTTAATATTGCAGCTCCCTATGTACTGCATCCCTAGAGCTCTTAAAAGCAGGCAGATAGTAACAATAACAAAAAAGCATGTAACTTTGCACTTAATATAGTAATTCAGAAAGATACCAACCACTACTATGAACACTTGTGTTAAATTACTCTGGGTCTCTTTTTTTGTCTGTTTCATTCTTTAAAAGGAAAAAATAAAGCAAATTAGATGCCAAAAAAAAGTGGGGGGAGAAGGTAGAACAGGAGAAAAAGAACTAAGAAAAATTATAATTCTATCAAATGTATATTTGATTAGCTTACACAGGCAGAATGCAGGAGGAGATTATATCATCTTTCTCATGGAACCCAGCTTGACTGAAACAATTTATCTTGAGTGTGTGATGGAAAGGGACTATTTAGAATGAACGTACATTTTTCTCTTCTCTAGGCAAACACAGTGCAGCCCAAGCTGAGTAGAGAGGAGCAGCGTGGTCGAGGTGCCCTCTTACAGGATATCTGCAAAGGGACCAAGCTGAAGAAGGTGACCAACATTAACGATCGGAGTGCTCCCGTCCTTGAGAGTGAGTCTGAGCTTCATTTTCTGGTCTTGAACCACCAGGATCCCAGGTTTGATTTATAGTCTTGCAGCTGGGCTGTTGTTTTATCCTGAGTGGAAAAGTTTTGTGTTGGGATATCCTTTTCCTTAGTTCTCAGGCATTCATTTAAATAAGTATCTTAAAACTAAGTTCTTTCTTGATCTTTGGCAAGCATGCTCTAGATTAAGATTCCCATCTCCTATTGTAATTAGTTCTTGTTAGGGGCACTTCCCAACTGTTCTGTAAGGAAACCAGTATTCTTAAGGAATGTCTCAGCTGAAGCCAAGATAATTGCTACAGGAATACTTGGTAGAATACAAGGTCTGTGAAACAGAGGAAGACCTTCAATGAGGTGGATTGACACAGTGAGTATGAGAGTGGGCTGAAACACAACAGTGGTTTGTGAGGATGGCTCAGGAGTATACAGTATTTCATTCATTATGAGTCAGAACCACCTTAATAGTACTTAATCACTGTCTTTCCCTCTAGGTATCTGCCAGTGTTGTTCACATTTCTGTTCCTGAGCCATTAGCTTCTTTACCACCTTGAACTTGGAAAGGAAAGCCCAGGAAGCACATCTAAATATTTCTTTATTCCCATTCTTCCTGTGCCCTAAAGGAAAGAAGACCCACTCCTTTTTCCATTTTTTTTCTCTTTCATCACAGTGAAGTTTCATTTCCATATGAAACTGAGAGGCTTAGCTTTTTATTTTAAAGGAAAAGGAAAAAGCAAGATTGATTTGTTTTGGAAGTTAAAGCCCAAGTAGAGAAGGACTTGATCCTCAGAATTGACTCAGTCACCAGTTCAGAGCATATGAAATGAAAACTCTCAATGATGTGTTTTCCAGAATCCAAAGGAAGCAGCAGTGGTGGTTATGGCTCTGGAGCAGCAGCCCTGCAGCCCAAGGGAGGGCTCTTCCAAGGAGGAGTGCCGAAGCTCAGACCTGTGGGAGCCAAGGATGCTCCAGGTACTAGATGAGTACTTAATATGTTTTACGAGTGCATTCATTTCCTGTTTCCCCCTCAAGCCGTATATATTTGTATTTTCACATAGATACAAACACATAATTACTTTTACATATCAAACGTATGTATTTTATATGTATATACACAAAGACTGTATAAATTTATATACAAACTTATATCTTGTAAGTTTCTTTTTAAAACATTGTTTTGTACATTTTGCCATTTCATCAAGTACATGTATAGTTCAGTCACATTAATTACACTCATCACTACTACTATTTGCAAAATTTTCCATCTTCTTTAAAGAACAGTGTCCCCTAAGCAAATGCATTCATTTCTGATTGGTTTCATGTGAGCCATCTGGGACTGAAAACTAAGACTGAGGTGGGAAGAAAGGAATTACAGAATAAAATAAAGCAGAAGCTGAGTAATTAAGCAAAAATGTATTTAACATATGTCACTAGTAGTATTTGTTAATGAGTCCTGACTCTCACACTGGGTTAAGGATCAGAACTTTATAAAAGCTGTCTTTGCTGTGATGCACATTGCTCTGTGGAAATGGGTGAGATAGGCATACTAGCCAGCACATGCCCAGCTCTATTGACCCTATTTTGTCTGGTGTCTTTATAGAAAACCCAACTGGTAAGCCAGCTCTACAAGTTCCCAGTTCTCGAGCTGCTGCCCCAAGGCCTCCAGGGTCTACAGCCAGTGGCCGCCCTCAAGATGATACAGACAGCAACCGAGCCTCCCTCCCAGACCTGCCTCGGACACAGAGACCCTCTTTACCGGACCTCTCTAGGCCCAATAGCACCAGCAGTACCGGCATGAAGCACAGCTCCTCTGCCCCTCCTCCGCCACCCCCAGGGCGACGTGCTAATGCACCCCCTACACCTCTGCCTTTGCATAGCAAGAAAACCCCCACCTACAACAGAGAGAAACCTTTGCCACCAACACCTGGACAAAGGCTTCACCCTGGTCGAGAGGGACCTCCTGCTCCACCCCCAGTAAAACCACCTCCTTCTCCTGTGAATATCAGAACAGGACCAAATGGCCAGTCTCTGGCTCCTCCGCCACCGCCTTACCGCCAGCCTCCTGGGGTCCCCAATGGGCCTTCCAGTCCCACTAATGAGTCAGCCCCAGAACTGCCACAGAGACACAATTCTTTGCATAGGAAGACTCCAGGGCCTGTCAGAGGCCTAGCGCCAGCTCCACCCACCACAGCCTCTCCCTCTCTACAGAGTAACCGGCCACCTCCCCCAGCACGAGACCCCCCCAGCCGAGGAGCAGGTAAGTGCTTGGAAGTACTTTCCATTTCCTTCCGTTACTGTAACAGATAATTTGGTTTATGGTTTTCTTCATTCTCTTTTTCTCAAAGCTCTCCTTTAGTGATGGAAAGAATAAGGTCTATTAAGTATCTTTTTATATGTCAGGCTTTATTACTACAGGTGTTAGAAAAACAGCAATAAACAGAAAAGACAAAGCAATTCTAGCTCTCAAGGACAATCAAGCAAACCAGTAAAATAGGTAAATACATTGTATGCAGTATGTTTTACCAGTACAGAGAAATAAATAGGGTAGTCTGAGGTAGTCTGTATATGCTGTAATATATGTATTATACAGTAAGAACTCAAGGAGCTCTGGGCCTAGTGGTAAGAATCTGCATTGCAATTGCAAAAGCCTGCTGTTTGAATCACCAGCTGCTCCATGGGAGAAGCATGGGCATTCTCCTTCTGTATGATTAGCTGCCTTTGAAAACCTGCCAGAGGGTCAGCTATCTGTCACTTCTGACTTGACAATACTTAACAACATCAATAGTCTGAGATGGGAGATACTAATATTTTAAATTAGCATTGGGGATAAGGTCAGAGAAGGCTTTATTGATGACAAATCTGCAAAGACCTGAAGAAATTAATAGAATGAGCTAAGCAGCTGTCTGGTGAATAACTATTGCAGACATTGAAAACAAAAAATGTTTCCTGACACAGGCTTATTGTTGGCATATTATAGAGATGGTAAGGAAGCCATTGTAGAAAGAACACAATTAATGAGGGAACGAACAGTTGCAGCAATGGAAGTCAGAAAACTACACGGGAGAACTTTGCAGAACTTTGTAAATACTCTAATGGCTGTGTGAGATCGGGAACCATGGAGAAGTTTTGAGAGGAGAAATAGAGTGATTTGATTTACTTGTTTAAAATTTCACTAGCTCCTGTAATGAAAACACACTGCTCAAGGGCAAGGGTGACAAAAGGAGACCCCTTGGGATGCTATTGCAATAAACCAGGTGGCTTGGTAATACTACAAGTATGAGGCTTTGAAAAGGAGATAATGAATTGACATTTGGCCAATAAACTCTGAAGTCCAGAGGAAAGGTCAGAGCTAGAGAGAGAAATGTGAATGAAATTAAAAACTACATGTGCTAGATGAGATCACCTGAAGTCTGGGAACAACCTCTGTGTTAGAGGTAAAAGAAAAGAGGAGCATCCAGCAAAGAAAATTGAGAAGGTGCTTTCAATGAAGAGGAGAGGAAGAAAACCAAGAGAATGTTCTAGAAGATAATTAAGAAAGTCTTTCTGGGAAGATGGTGTGATAAGCCTTGTCCAGTGCTCCAGATACATATGCTGTAGACTGAGAATGACTTTGTCTTAGCAACATATGAGTCATTTTTAGTAATAATAATAATAGAGTGGAAGAAGGTGAAGGGGAAAGTCCAGTTGGAAAAGCGGGGATAGGAGGAGAGGAATTGGAGATAGCAATGTAGAAATTTCTTGTGTTTTTACTTCAAAGGAGAACAGATAAATGGAATGGCTTCCAAAGAATATATGTTGGCTTGAGGGTCCTCCAGTCCTATTTGTATGCTGATGGAATGATCTAGAGAAGAAAATTGATTTGGGAGAGAGGAGAAACAGGTTGCCTGACTAATGTCCTTGAGTAGGCAAAAGAAGATGGAGTTTGATCACAGGCAAGGGAATGGCACAAGACGGGAATACAAATATTCTTCCACAGTAACAGGAGGGAAGGCAGAACATACAAGCAGAGAAGCAAGTGTAGGTGGATGTGGTCATAGTAGCTTGTACAGTTTCTTCTGATGTGCTTCTGTTTTCTCAGTGGAATAGAAAGCCAGCCAGTGAGTATGAAGTGAGACGTGGAGACAGAAGGAGGTATGAAACAGTCATCTAGGAGTGTGGAGAGTAGATGGACTAGAGAAATGTGGCAAGTTGCCAACAGTGCTAAAAACCTACTTGATATTGTTAGGTGCCATTAAGTCGATATGACTCACAGCAAACTTTGAAGAAAACCTCTGAATCCTGCCCTATGCTATGTCATCTTCAGCTTTCTGACACACTTGAGCCCATTGCAGCAGTCAATCCATCAATCCTTCTGGTTAAGGATCTTCCTCTCTTTTACTGACCCTCTGCCTTGCATGATATGTCCCCTTTCAAAGATAATAAGCCTCTCCTAACAACATGCCCAAAGTATGTGAGACAAAGGTTTAACCTGCACCTTTTCTAAGATATACCTGTTCATTCTTTTGGCAGTCTATCAGGTTTTCAGTACTCTTCAGTACTACGAGTCAAAGACATCATCTCTTCTGTCATCCTTATTCATTGTTCAGCTGAGAGTCAGATGCATGACAAATGATTGAAAAGACCATTGCCTGAATCAGGACCTCCTTTGTCCAGATTGACATCCTTGTCCTCTGTAATTTGGAGAAGTTCCAGACTACAGAATTTTCTTGACATTAGGGACCATTTAATAAGATTAGTCTCAGTGAGAGATTAGGGAGCTTTGGTGTCATAGTGGTAAGAAGCTGCACTGCAGTTCAAATCCACTGCTATGTGGGAGAAATAGTCTCCTCCCATGTGATTTACTACTTCAGAAAACCCTCTGGCGGATTAGCTAAAAGTTGATTCTGATGCAATGGTACTGCACAGTGATGATGGGATTAACCAATGTGGCGTGTGTTCATATGTGAATTTGTAGGTGCATAGTTGTATTTAACCAAGGTTAAATGCATATTTTAAGCATGTGGAACTAAGGGAAAAGGAAATGAAGGATGTTTGTAAAGGAGTGATTATCATAATGAGGCTAAGAACCTAAAGTGGTAAAGGAAGAAATTAAGACTAGGAATTTTCTTCTAAGTAACCCTAGAAAAAAGTAAAAAAAAAGTTAAGCAGTCTTTCTAAAAAAATTACTTAATTGAAATTGGAGAGTGGAAAAAAACCATGACAGCCATCTGGGACCCTTTTAGGCTTAGGAATGTTGACATCCTTATTAGATCTGTAGTAATTCATCCAGAATATTAGTGGTATAGTGTGTAACGTATTGGGCTAACTGAAAGGTCAACAGTTTGATTCCACCAAACACTTCACAAAAGAAAGATGGTCGTTTGTCCCATAAAGATTTACAGTCTCCGAAACCCAGGAGGGGTCACCATGAGTTCGAACAACTTGGCACCAGTGGCTTTTGGTGTTCTTGTATTGTTCAATTTTGAGCTGTACCATCCCTGAATGGTTTCTGGCTTTAAACTGTAAGCTCCAGTGTGATAGAACAGTGATTAAGAAGTCATTTCATCAAGAAGGCATAAAATCTGTTTAACCTGAGCTCTGTGGATAAGTGCTTATGGAGTTGTACACTAGGAGTCTGTAGTCCAACATAGACATAGACACAATAGCCTGATGCATTCCTGACCCATCTCCTAGCTCTGGTCCCAAGGATATAGTCCTAAGGTGACCTTTTTTTAAAAAAAAAAAATCTTTTTTGTGTGTGTACCGTCAAATTAGATCTTACTGATATAGGAGGAGATTGTCCCTCGTTCTCCAGCAGGGCATCTGGTGGATCCAAACCACTTTCCCCTGAGATTGCAGTGTAGCTTCCTGCCCTAGGCCACCAGAGCTCCCCCTAAGGTGACCTTTAATTCGACAAAGTTTAGACTTAAATTTTTCTTTATTTCAGTTTAAGGATTTTTTTAATTGATTTTTTTGTTGTTGTTGTTGGGGCAGCAGGGAACTTACTTTTCATGTGATTTTTGAAGTGATTTTTTGAATAAATGACAAAACTCATTGGAACCAACTCCATCAGATTTTTCATAATCTGTAAATTACAAGAAAGGAGACTGCCCATCTTTCTCCCCTGGAGCAGCCGGTGAATTTGAGCCACCTGCCTTGGGGTTGGCAGTGCAATCAGCTCCTTACCTACTAGATTACCAGAGCTTCATCTGTTAATTTTTTGTTGGGATGACTGGAAACAACTTATCCATTCTTTTTCACACGATTTTATAAAGTTTTAAAAATCAAGGTGATGTTTTCATGGTTGAAAACCACATACCTTATGGCAGCAACCTGGAACAAGAGGTGCATTGCATTGTAAAGTGGACTTGGGGAGGCGGAAAGGAAGGGGAGGGATGAAAATGTGCAACAGTGAATGAATGAAAACTCAACCTTTCTGTTAAACTTGCGTTAAAATCACAATTAAAAAAAGAAAACATACACTTTTATTTCTGAAAGGGGAAAAAATTCAGGAGAATTGAGCAACCCATTGAACACATTTACATCCACTATATATCGTCAAAGGGCAGACAGTAAATATTTTGCTTTTTTTAAATTTAGAAATTTTTTAAACTTTTTTAATAATTTTTTTATGTTAGGTTTTCATTCATTAATTGTTGCACATTTTATCCCCTCTTCTTTCTTCCCCCTCCCCCACTTCACTTTTTAAAAAAATATTCATTTATTGTTACTAAAATCCCATTTTTTATTTAGAGATTTTTTTTAAAAAAAAGATCCATTATTTGAGTAGAGCCTATGTCTCTTATTGTTGAAGAATAAAAGAAGAGAAATTTCTGTGGGCAGTTGAGTAGCTTTACATGTCTGTAACCTATTGCTTCACACTGCTCAGTTCTTTCTCTGTGGTTCTTCAGAAAATTTTGAAGTTAGAGCTGTGTTTTTCTGCCCATTACCTGTCATCAACGTTAAGGCTTGCCAGAGGCCTTAACATGCTTTCCTAATCAGTAACAAGAGCAGTGGTATTTAAGGAGTCCCATACTGGGGAAAAAGAGCTACTTTAGCCAGACGTCTTTTGAGTTTTGGATCTGTCTGTGAGTTGTGTGACCATGGGCACATCATTTGTTCTCTGAGTGTATTTCTTCATCCATAGAATTTTTTTTTTTAAATTGTATTTTATTATTTTTTGTGTGCATACCGTCAAATCACATCTGTCTGGTACAGGAGGAAATTGTCCCTCTTTCTGCAGCAGAGCATCAGGTGGATTAAAACCACGCACCTCTG